GTCTGCTCCCCCTGAAGTGGGTATGAAGTACTATGAACATCAAGTGCCATGAGCTCCTTGCTCTTCATCACGTGACCGAAACAGTGGTCGTTTTTGTTCTGCCGATGATTGCTGAGTGTGATGGTGGTGAATGTGACAATGATCTTCTGACCATAATGGACGAGAATCAAGGTGAAAGTCATGGCCACCATGACAGCCATAGCCATGGTGACAACCATATCGATGATGAGAATGATAGCCATAGCGACAACCATGACCATAATGAAAATCATTGGCATATGGTCATGACACATCTGACGACAACGATTTGGCATTCCTCCATGAAAAATGGTCATGAAAAGAATCACTATCTCGATCACCTCTCTTCCACACTCTCTCTTCTCTCCTGCCACTCCCCGCACCTCTTCTGCCACCTAACCCCACACCCTTTTTATGTCACTATAGACTTCTCTGTGCAACACAAGCTGACCCCCTCTGTGCTCTGAATGCCAAGTATACATAAAATAGATGAAGAGGAAAGGGCGGAGGGCGGGGCAGGGGCTAGCTGTGGTGGGGAAAATATAAAAAAGGGGGTGGAAGTAAGGGAGCAGGGGTGCGCAACATCTGGGTGGAAGTACGGGAGCAGGGGTGTGCAAGGGGTGTCGTTAAGTCAATTGTCAGAAATGTACGGAGAAGGTAGGTTGGGACTCGGCGCGCTGTGGGAGAACTGGTGACGCTTTAGCCGTTGAGTTTGTTTGTTCTTCGTACGGTGGAAGTTTTGTGTTTGGCTCGTGGCCGAGGGTATGAAGATGCTACAGTGAAGGTCGTCCGAATGACGGGCCTAATGCCTTCGCCAACAGTACGCCAGTCATTGACCTTCGACTAGTTTGGTTTCCTTTTTTTTTTCTTTTTTTTTTCTTTTTTTTTTCTTTTTTGAAGCCCAGGGTGTTGTAGAGGCCAAGGACCAGACCCGCGGGGATTGCGGGCGGCGGCAGCCAATGATTGTCCTGACAGGATAGACCGCCTACCCTACCCATCCCCACCTTAATACTCCCAGCGCACCCCCTAGTTTGGTTTCCTTCTGTTTGCTAAGTGTGAGCGTTCGAGGGCTAGTGATCCTTCCTTTTGCATTGTTTTGGTATGGTCTGTGACTCTGTGGTCATTAAGTCGCAATGCTCAGTCAATCCCCTGATGCTCAGGGTAAGCAATGTCTCAGTTCGCAACGCTCAGCACATTAAACCACTAGTACCTTTGACGGTTGGGAAATAGGGAAAACTCAAAACTGGCAGTTTTCCCAAATTCCTAAAAGTCGGGGACTGGGCCCGACGACAGCCGTCATTTCGTTTCGGCCTCCTCAAAGATCGGAGGCCCACCCGAGGCCCCCTATTTTCCCAGCCGTCAAAGGTATGCTAGTTGTTTAAGTCGCAAATGGTCAGGTCAATCCCCTGGTGGGCAGCTGCATGTCCCAGTCCGCAATGGTACTCAATTTTTTTGATGTATTAATAAATTAATAATGTGCTGTGCGACGCTGGACCCCGTTGCCAGCAGGTGAAGTTCCCCACCAAAAATAGATTGGACCACCACAGTAAAACCTGCTAGGGGGGAATGCTCATATTCATCCCCCCGCGCCAGGAAGCCCGGTTACCTCCATGTCTGTCACCGTGCCTGCTTTAGTCTTCATTCCCCCGCATGCTGCACTAACACCTTGTGACCTCCTCCTTTGTGAGATCACTGACACAGTTACACTTGGTTGTGGAAAGCATCGACTTTGTCGACATCACTACAACCATATAATTTTTCGGGCCCGCTGTCGGCAGGGATGCCACCTGTATCCGGATTGTGAACATCCTCTGCATCCAGATGCAGTATGTCCCATCTGTGCCTACGGGCGCTATAGCGAATGTGCAGTTAACTGTGATGGTGAACGCCCCACAATGGTCATGGCCTGCAACCGGCATGCCCTCTGCCGTGCATGCTTCAGAGGTATGGTCGATGCTAGCCGTCCTGGTTCCTGCTGTGACGAAGTTGCTTACCTGAATGGTTTCCGTCCTATTGATCAGCAGGAGGGCTGCTACCATCGCCCGCATCCTTATGATAGTYGTCCTATCTGTCGTGAGGGTCTTGCTTAGACGTACCTTGCACCCTGACAAAAATGTGCAGGTGCGCTGAAAAGAGTGTACAAGAATGTGCAAAGGTGGGAAACCCTTCACTAAAACTGCAAAACAGTGAAGACTGCAGTAAAAGAAGAACATAAGTTTGTGTCGTTTTACTTTGTTTGTACCCTGCACCCTAACACCCTCAAAGAAAAAGTCTGAAGGGTGAAAATGAGAATAAAAAATGAAGAAGGAAGTGCAGTTGCGCTGAAAAATGAACGTGGTAGACTCTTCACCAAAACTGCAAAACTGTGAAAGTGTTACGATCCTGGCCAATTTTGAAGTCCACAACCATCAGAAAGTACAATGCTGCCCAAATGCAAAAGAAATAATTGAACTTGAGCTCAACTCCATCCAATTGCAAAATGAAATGAAAGAACTTGAAAGGAGAGAGAGGGAAAGAAGAAGAAGAAGAATTAGAGAAGAAGAAGAAGATGTACTTCGGCATAGACCAAAACAAAGCTCTTCTTCTTCGCTCAACAACCTCCTCCTCTTTATCTCTTCCTCTCTTATTCAACTCAT